TTTAATTTTTCGATAGGTACAACTAACTGTTTGCCCAGCTTGCTGAACTTGAACGAATTTCAAATAATTCATACGATGTTCCGTAATCATCGTCCACGAAGTTTTTTTTTTAACTAGTTCGTTTATTTACTAGGCTCAGTCGTGTGTGACACTTTGCGGAGCTAAAATCAGTATTGTTTGATTTACATTTTAAATAGCAGTATTACTAGGTTAGTATTGGGTACCAATTACTCGTGGCGGGCTCGAGGTTAATGGGTAACAATTTCAATTGGAAGGATCTAGGTAGGAAACTGGTTTCTGAAGCCTCCTTCAGATACTACTCTCGGACGGTTGACCAAATCCTGACTGGGCAGGGGCAAGTAGCACAGGAACAGGAGGATAATAAGACTGGGACGCAATGGCGGGAAATTGTTTGGAAAGGAGGGGATAGTCACATCAAACTCTAACATCAGACAAACAAAGGAATTCGTAGATCGTTTGCATGTAGGGAAGATCACGTTTTCCCAATACATCTCTTACTTCACGGAAGGGTTGTCTACCTCGGGCCACTAGGGTATCCAATAGTTGTGCTCTTGAGGCGTCATTACCCGGGCAATACCAAGCTGCGTGATCGATGTCATCATAACCGGTTCTGCACCTACATATATTGCTGTCAACGAGGTTTATTCTATAGAGATGTGCGTCTAGCGAGTAGTGGTTGGACATAAGTCTTGACATCACTCGAATGAATCCCCGACTTACATCCAGACCTTTGAACCACGCTCTCGAAGAAACATTTGGAATAATGGAATGTAACCACCGCCCAAGTGAATTACTTGTCCAATCGTTTTGCCAACTTAAAAGAGAACTCTGACGTACTAATGGGAAAAATTCATCATGTGAAATTCTTCTATCATAAATCTCGCCTTGATGTGCGCCCACCTTTGCGGGAGAGTCTGCCTTCTCATTGCCTGGGATTGAGCAATGTGAGGGGACCCATACAAAGGTAATCATATATGATCTTTCGACCAGCAAACTCATCTGCTCCCTTACCTTTGAAAGGAAATAAGATGAGTGCCTACCTTGTTTCATCGACCAAATAGCCTCAATCGAACTGAGACTATCCGAGAAGATGAAGTAATGGTCTATGGGCATATCGGAAATCATCCCCAATGCGAAGTTAATTGCTGCTAGCTCAGCAACATAAACGGAACAAGGTTCCTGAAGTTTCCGAAAGGCGGTTGAGTATTCATTGAAGACGCCGAAGCCAGTGGATCCATCAATGCGTGATCCATCAGTGAAAAATCTTCTATTGCAATTGACTTGTTGGTACTTTTCAGCAAAAATGTGGGGAATTGAGATAGGTCGAAGTTGATCTGGAACTCCTTGAATAGCCTGTTTCATGGAGAGATCGTAGTCAATGGGGGAACTGTAGTTAGTAAAGCATACACGAGAGGGGTTATAGCAAGGAAGGCTAATATCCGATGACATATAATTAAGATAGATTCGCACGAATCTAGACTGGATGCTCAATTCGAGCATTTCTTCGAAGTTTTCAATCACAAGGTTGTTACTGACACTACATTTAATCAATATTCTTAATGAGAGCTCCCAGAAACGGTTCTGCAGGGGTTTTACGCCCGCTAGGACCTCTAGGCTCATATTGTGTGTTGAATGCATACAGCCAAGGGCAATACGTAAACAACGATATTGAATGCGTTCCATTTTAATTAGGTGGGTTTTTCTTGCCGAGAGGAAGCAAAAAGAGCCATACTCAAGAACTGAAAGAATAGTCGTTTTATATAGTTTAATGAGGTCTTCGGGGTGAGCACCCCACCATGTCCCGGAAATTGATCGTAGAAAGTTGATCCTTTGTTGACACTTTTGTTTCAAATACGTAATATGGGTACCCCAAGTGCATTTTGAATCAAACCAGACTCCAAGGTATTTGAAGGTTAAAGATTGGGTAATGTCTCTGCCCAAAAGATTTAGACGCAGTTGGGCTGGAAACCGCTTCCTTGTAAACACTACCAATTCAGTTTTTTGCGGTGAAAACTCGATCCCTAAATTTCTTGCCCAGAGAGACAGATTATTTAGGGAATTTTGCAATGGTCTTTGCAAGATTTCTACACGTGGACCTCTCATGGAAACCACTGCATCATCTGCAAGCTGTCTAAGCGTGCATTGATTATCTAAGCAGTTATCAATATCTTTGACATAGAAATTATCAAGTAAGGGACTTAAACATGAACCTTGGGGTAAGCCCATGTAGCTAATTCTAGAAGTTGTCAGTTGACCTAGATTGAAGGTCATTTGTTTTTCTGACAGCAAATTATACAAAAAATTATTCAAAATACCGGGTAATCCACTACTGTGCAAATTGTCTGACAGTATGTCTATGGAAACCAAATCAAATGTGCCATTAACATCCAAAAAGACTGAAGCCAATTGCTCCCTGTGCGCAAAGGCCAGTTGAATATCAGATGAAAGCATCGCTAGACAATCGTTTGTTCCTTTATTCTTCCGGAAACCAAATTGCGTATTTGAAAGTAGATTGTTTGATTCAACCCAATGGTCAAGTCTTAATAGGATCATTTTTTCTAATAATTTCCTCAGGCATGATAACATAGAGATCGGACGGTAAGAATTGTGATCAGACGCTGGTTTCCCAGGCTTTGGAATAGCTATTACTTTAACCTGTCTCCATGCTGGTGGAACTATATTGAATTCCATAAATGAATTATCGTCTTTTAGCGATATCGGGGAGGTTTTTTAGAAGGTCGAATTTGATCATATCGCTTCCCGGAGCAGAGTTATTCGATGAAAGAAGTGCCATTGAAAATTCCAGTATTGTGAATGGTTCATCCAGAGAACCGTTACTTCGGACTGTATCCCGTAAAGTTGGTTGTGCTGGAACAGAATCTGGACAAACCGTTTTAGCAAAGTCGAATATCCATTGGGAGGAGTATTCTTCACTCTCATTGGAAGATGAGCGGTTTCGCATATAGCGAGCCTTTTTCCAAAGCGTTGTCATCGAGGTTTCTCTAGAAAGTCCCTCGATAAAAGTACGCCAGTAGTTTCGTTTCTTTGCTTTTAGTAAGTTTTTAAGCTTTTTTTTCAAGCTTTAGATACTTTTCAAAAAGCTCAGATCTTTCATGTCTACGATAATCTTTAAAGGCATTGGATTTCTCAAGATACAACTTTGTGCATTCGTCATCCCAGCCAGGGGTGGCGGGTCTTCTTTTGAGGGATGCACTTGGAACACGTCGTTTCTGAGCTTCTAATGCGCTTTTGTAGATTAGCTCGGTAAAGAAACGATACTCTTCCAGTGGTGGTAGAGGATCGGTAGAATCAATACCAAGAGTTACCGCCGATACAAATTTTTGCCAATCAATGTTCCTCGTGAGGTCAAAAGGAACTTGAATTGACTGATCTGTTTTTAGAAGACCACTTTTGATTGAAATAATAATTGGCAAGTGATCACTACCATGGGGATCATTGATAACCTTCCACAGACAATCTAATGATAGTGAGTTAGAGCACAAAGAAATGTCAAGACGGCTCTCTCGAGCAGGAGGGTTTGCTATACGTGTTGCTTCACCAGTGTTCAAGATAGTCAAGTTGAAATCATCGCACAAATCATAGAAAATACCCGCTCTATTGTCATCGTATGATTCGCCCCAACCAGTACCGTGTGAGTTCATATCGCCCAGTATTAGAACTGGAGATGGAAGGATATTAACTGAACTCCAAAGCTGACGGCGGTTTATGGAAGTCCTTGGAGGGACATATACAGAAGCTATGCAAAGATCTTTGTTCTTCACATTTATTTGGCAAGCGACAATTTCAATGCCTGAAATTATTGGTATTGAGATTTTATAGAAGGAGTAGCACTTTTTGATCCCCAAAAGTACGCTGTTCGCAACAGCGAATAAGTTTCGAGACGACCCTGCACCGCCGCTGGCACTGTAAACGTCCTGAGTTTACCGACCGTCAACGCATCAGCAGCAGAAAAAATCTCCCTTCCTTCCTCCTCATCCTTTTTTTTACTAACCCCGAGATAGCCGCGGGAAAACGGCCTCCCTACTAACATGACAACAACCAATCACAATCAAGATTGTATTTTATAGTACACTTTTCTATCCTTTTTGCGTTGCGAAGTAACAGCCAATCAGCAGTGGCTGATGAAATATTAAAATGTTTAAAAGTAGAGTACGCACCAAAAACTTTGTCAGTCTTTCTTGCATCCTGAAGAATAAAGCAACCACAACAAGTAAAAAGGTTTCTCGCAGTATTAATTCAAGAAGAAACGTCTTCCAGTTTGCTTGCTCCTGCTGTTGATTGGTTTCGTCTGCTTGCTGTTTGAAGATCCGTTCGTCAGCGTCCTACTCTGACATGGTCCTACTAGTTGTCTGCTGCGTGTTTCCACATTATCACTTTTCCAAAAGAGTTTATTTCATCGGAGTTCTTTTCAGAACTTCCGATATCGTGTGGTAAGTGGCTTCACCAGCAGAACTAGTGCCCACTCCGTTCCGGGAGCAGCAATCCGTTCCATCGCTTGTCGTTGACAGTGGGTCAACGAAGCATAGTTCGTGTTCATCGTTGGCAGTGGCCAACAATCAGTCTGTCCGTCGATCTCGTTGGCAGTGAGCCAACAAGAAAAATCGTGTTCGTTCGTGTCTGTTGGCTATGCCCAACATAGTGGTCCGTTCGGAACCAGATTTGTGAAGCGTATACAGTCCGCTATTGAAGTGAATTTTTTCTCGCGTCACGGTAGCAAGTGAAGAAGAACAAGAACTTTTAGTGAACATTGAACGCTACCGTCGATGCTTATGTGACAGTAACAGAACAGTAAAGTTATTTGCTAGAACGCAAAAAGAACTCCAAGAGCTCAAGTGTTAGTGCTCCTGCTTTTCATCTGGTATCATCGTGTGACGTTCGAGAATTGCTCTCTCCGTAGCAATTACCATTCCTTTCCGATGCCAGTGGATCGTACCCCATTGAAACCGCTTAAGCCAACCATGGAGGAAATCAAGCCGCTCATCCACCAACGCGGTCAGGTAAAGGGCAAGGTGACTGCGATCGCCAATGCCTTGGAAAAATGCGAAAATGATCCTAGCCAGGTGAGTCTTCCCTTTCTTAAAGTTTACGCCAAAAAGCTAGAAGCTCATTATGCTGAATATTCCGTTTTACACAAGGAGATTATTTGTTCCATTCCTCCTGGTAAAACGGATGATCAAGATGAAAAATTGAACGAATTCGACAAACTTCATACCGATTGTTTGATTCGGTTGGAGTTTCTCATGGAAAGTTTAAGTACTCCTACCAGTGTCTCCTTTACCAACGCCGCTACGCCAGCTAGTGCCACCCAAGTGATAGTACAGCAACAGCCGCTCAAGGCCCCAATCCCCACTTTTGACGGGCGCTACGAAAATTGGCCTCGTTTTAAATCCATGTTCCAAGACATCGTCAGCCGATGTTCTGATTCGGATGCGATCAAACTGCATTATCTAGAAAAGGCACTAGTTGGTGCTGCCTCCGGTATTCTTGATGCCAAAACCCTGTCTGATAACAACTACAACCACGCGTGGGAAATACTAACCGATAGATATGAAAATCCGAGGATTATTATCGATACCCATATTGACGAGCTTCTAGCTATGAGAAAGATGTGCAAAGAGTCTCACAAAGAACTACGTGATTTGGTGGATACGTGTACGAGGCACGTTGAGGGTCTAAGGGTTATGAAACAATCAGTTGAGGGTACAACTGGGTTAATTATCAATAAGATTTTGACTTCTTGTCTCGACGCATCCACACGTAAGCAATGGGAACGCTCTCTTGCCCATGGGGAACTACCGAATCTTGAAAAGACACTGACATTCCTGAAGGATCAGTGTCGTGTCCTTGAACGTTGTGAAGCGGATCATCCTACAATCGTAAAATCCCATCCTGTTAAACCATCTCAACCAACCGCTAAGCCCAATAGCGTGAAGGTTCACGCTACTACATCCGACAGTAGTAGTGAGTCTTGTCAGTTCTGTGCTAAGAGTCACTTTAATTACCAATGTCCCGATTTCCATAAACTGCCTGTGTCGGATCGAGTAACAAAGGTGAGAGAGTCCCATTTGTGTTTTAACTGTTTGCGGCGTGGACATAGATCCATTGCTTGTTCGTCTAAGAGAAACTGCAGCAAGTGCAACAAGCGACACCATTCTCTTTTGCATGAGGATGGATTCAAACGTGAAAGTAATGTGAATTCCAACAACCATCCCGTCCAGAGCAAAGGTGAGAATGAACGGGTTTCACTTGTGGTAACCCCCCAAACCCCGTGTGATGATTCCGCAAATTCCTCTACTGTGTCTACCCAGCCGTCCGTCTGTTCTCTTAGTGTTGCCGTCCCTAATGTCTTGCTTCTAACTGCTGTGGTGAGCTTGGTTGATAAAAATGATAAGCATATTCCATGCCGTGCCTTCCTAGATTGTGGTGCTCAAACGAATCTGATTTCTCTTCCCATGTACGAAAAGCTTGGTCTCGAGGGAGTTCCTGTTTCCATTGACATTGTTGGAGTCAGCAATGTGCGCACCAAATCCAAACGTCTAGTAACCGTGAGCCTTCAATCCCTCTACAGGGACTTTCAAGTAGATCTCAAATGTTTGGTAACTCCAAAGATCACGAATGCTCTCCCATCCAAACCTGTTAATATCAGTCAGTGGAACATTCCTTCTGGATTTCAGTTGGCTGACCCTAATTTCTATGTACCTTCTGATGTGGATCTGTTGATTGGACTTGGCCATTTTTTCAGACTATTGAGGACTGGACATCTCGTTCTTGGTGATGGTCTTCCAGAGTTGCGTGAAACCGAACTGGGTTGGGTTGTTTCCGGTGAAATTCGTGATGAGTCTGTAGCGTGCCTAAGCCCCCAGCAAATCAACACCGTTACTATCGAATCGCTCAACGAAATGATTAAAAGTTTCTGGGAAATTGAAGAAATCAGCAATGTTTCCCAGCGTACTGTTGAAGAAGAGGAGTGTGAAGAGACTTTCCGCAGCACTCATCGTCGTGATCCTACCGGTAGATATGTTGTGAAGTTACCACTCCGTGAAAATGTTTCTCAGCTCGATGATAATCGTTCGTTGGCTCTTCGTCGCTTTTACTTTCTTGAAAGGCGTCTCCTTCGTGAGCCTGAGCTTCACGCGCAATACTCGAAATTTATCGAGGAATATGAAAGCCTAGGGCATTGCAGAGAAGTTCGTGAGTCAGATGATCCTCCCAGCATGTTGAAGTATTACTTGCCACATCATGCTATCCTAAGGCCGTCGAGTTCAAGTACCAAGCTACGAGTTGTTTTCGATGCATCGGCAAAGCTCTCCTCCGGAACCTCACTAAACGACGTTTTGCAGGTTGGTGCAGTCGTCCAATCTGACCTTGAGAAAATTATCTTGCGATTTCGAAAACACACATACGTGTTCACTGCTGACATTGCTAAAATGTTCAGACAGGTTTTTCTTGATCCTTCACAGGTCGCTTTCCTTCGAATTTTCTGGCGTTCAAAGCCATCGGAAGCTCTCAGAGTTCTCGAGCTACTAACCGTGACTTACGGTACCTCCGCTGCTCCGTTTCTTGCAACCAGAACGTTGCTTCAGTTGTGTATTGATGAAGGTGACGAGTTTCCGCTGGCAGCGCATATTATTCGAGAGGATTGCTACGTTGACGATGTTCTGTCAGGTACTGACAGTATCGAGAAGGCCATCGAATGTCGTCAACAAATTCGGAATTTGTTGCAGAAAGGAGGTTTCCCAGTGCACAAATGGTGTGCCAATGATCAAAGGATTCTCGAAGGTGTTCCCGAATCTGAGCGTGAAACTCTTGTCCAATTGAACGAAATATCCGCCAATGAAGTCATAAAAACCCTCGGTCTTCTTTGGTGTCCAAATAGCGATGAATTTCTATTTGCGATCAATCCTGATCTTTCCGAGATGTCACCCGTTACAAAACGAAGTATGTTTTCAGAAATCGCGAAACTGTTTGATCCACTCGGCCTCGTGTCCCCAGTTATCGTGCTTGCTAAGCACCTAATGCAAAGAACATGGACTCTGAAGATTGGTTGGGACACGCCCCTTGAAGGTGAAATTCTTCATTCTTGTTTGCAATTCCGTTCCTCCTTGGCTCAGGTTAAAAACATTCGAGTTCCAAGACATGTATTGGTTCCTCATTTTGAGTATGTTGAATTACATGGGTTCGCTGATGCTTCAGGGATCGCCTATGGAGCTTGTCTTTATGTTCGTTGTGTCCAACCAAATGATGTGATCATGGTGAGACTTCTTCGTAGCAAGTCGAAAATTGCCCCTATCCATGAACTGACGATTCCTCGTAAAGAGCTTTGTGCTGCTTTACTGCTATCGAAGCTTGTCCAAAAAACCATTCCTGCCATGCAATTAAACTTCTCGTCTCTGTTCTTGTGGTCAGATAGTCAAATTGTTCTTGCATGGCTCCGAAAACCCCCATCGATGTTGCAACCATTTGTACGCAATCGTGTTTTGGAAATCACGGTCGAGAATGGTCACAATGAGTGGAATTATGTACGTTCTAAAGACAATCCAGCTGATGTGGTTTCCCGGGGACAATTACCAGGAGTTTTGAAATCAAATTCGTTATGGTGGGACGGTCCTGATTTTTTGAGATCCACTTCTTTCAATCAACCTGAGGTTGAAAATATTCCCGATGAACAACTCCCAGAATTTAAATCCGCTCCGGTAGTTGTGATGCCTGTTCTAAATTCTGACGATCTTCCTTTATTCAAGAAATTTAGTTCTTTCCGTAAATTACAACGTGTACTAGCGTACGTACAGCGTTTCATAAATAACTGTCGAACGAAAATTTCTGAGAACCGTGTTAAGAAATGTCTCGCTACCATTGGCGAACTAAGATCATCTCTCCATACGATTGTGAAGGTTATCCAACAAAATGTACTGATTGACGATATAAAAAGGGTTGAGAATGGAGAACCTTGTCGAAAAATCGGAATGCTAGGACCTTTTCTGGAAGATGGCGTTCTACGTGTTGGAGGACGGATTCAGAATTCCCGGGTTCCCCTGAGTACGAAACACCAGTACATCTTGCCAAATCACCCTTTGACCGATCTTCTCATTCGAGCATACCACGAGGAACACCTCCATGTCGGACCGTCTGGTTTGTTGTCCGCTCTTCGTCAACGCTTTTGGTTGCTGGGATCTCGATCGGCTGTACGGAAGATTACACGAGGATGTGTCCGATGCTTCCGTATAAAACCTAAGGGAGTTACTCAATATATGGGTAGCTTGCCAGTTAGTCGCGTTACTCCTGCAGCTCCTTTTGAAGTATCTGGAGACGATTATGCAGGACCGTTCATTATTAAGCATGGAGTAAGGAAACCAATTCTCGTGAAGGCATACATTGCGGTTTTTGTATGTCTGGTAACAAAATCCATTCATCTGGAATTAGTGTCGGACATGACTACGGCTGCCTTCATCGCCGCTCTACAGAGGTTTATCAGTCGGAGAGGTTTAGTTAGAGAGTTGCACTCGGATAACGGTAGCAATTTCCGAGGTGCCCGGACAGAACTACATGAGGTTTTTGTCTTATTTCGTGATCACTCCGCTGTTCATGAAATTGAATCCTTCTGCCAAACCAAGGAAATTGTTTGGCATTTCATTCCACCAGATGCTCCCGAGTTTGGAGGCTTGTGGGAAGCTGGCGTCAAAAGTACAAAGTACCACCTGAAGCGAATACTCAAGGAAACTCCGTTGACTTTCGAAGAATTCTACACGCTGCTTACTCAAGTGGAAGCAATTCTAAATTCACGACCTTTGTTTTCCCATTCCGATGATCCAACTGAAGGCGAAGTAATTACCCCTGCACACTTCCTCATCGGAAGACCACTTACCGCTATTCCTGAGCCTTCCTATGAAGGCCTGAGTAAAAACCGGTTGTCCAGGTGGCAGCATTTACAGCTAATGAGAGAGCATTTTTGGAGGTCTTGGGTCCATGATTATCTTGTTAGTTTGCAACCAAGGGGTAAAAATCAGATTCGTCAGCCCAATGTTAACCCCGGTTCAGTCGTTTTACTCGAAGATAAAAATTTGCCACCACAGCAGTGGAAATTGGGAAGAATTGTCCACTCGCACCCTGGCGAAGACAACTTAGTGAGAGTTGTTGATGTAAAAGTGGGAGATACAGTTTACCGACGCCCAATAACGAAAATTTCCATTCTACCCATAGATGACAATAAGCCTAAGGTCAACAATCAGGAATCTCCAGGTGAATCATCGAATCGCGTGAGGGAGGATGTTCGCAACAGCGAATAAGTTTCGAGACGACCCTGCACCGCCGCTGGCACTGTAAACGTCCTGAGTTTACCGACCGTCAACGCATCAGCAGCAGAAAAAATCTCCCTTCCTTCCTCCTCATCCTTTTTTTACTAACCCCGAGATAGCCGCGGGAAAACGGCCTCCCTACTAACATGACAACAACCAATCACAATCAAGATTGTATTTTATAGTACACTTTTCTATCCTTTTTGCGTTGCGAAGTAACAGCCAATCAGCAGTGGCTGATGAAATATTAAAATGTTTAAAAGTAGAGTACGCACCAAAAACTTTGTCAGTCTTTCTTGCATCCTGAAGAATAAAGCAACCACAACAAGTAAAAAGGTTTCTCGCAGTATTAATTCAAGAAGAAACGTCTTCCAGTTTGCTTGCTCCTGCTGTTGATTGGTTTCGTCTGCTTGCTGTTTGAAGATCCGTTCGTCAGCGTCCTGCTCTGACATGGTCCTACTAGTTGTCTGCTGCGTGTTTCCACATTATCACTTTTCCAAAAGAGTTTATTTCATCGGAGTTCTTTTCAGAACTTCCGATATCGTGTGGTAAGTGGCTTCACCAGCAGAACTAGTGCCCACTCCGTTCCGGGAGCAGCAATCCGTTCCATCGCTTGTCGTTGACAGTGGGTCAACGAAGCATAGTTCGTGTTCATCGTTGGCAGTGGCCAACAATCAGTCTGTCCGTCGATCTCGTTGGCAGTGAGCCAACAAGAAAAATCGTGTTCGTTCGTGTCTGTTGGCTATGCCCAACATACGCCACCATATGAATCATCTCAGTCCAGGCGGATAATGTTAAAATCGTGGAAGTTTAGTTCATCTTCAGAAGAAAGCCAAGTTTCACAGAGTGCAAATATATCACAATCAGAATTGTGAATCAAATACTTGAACGAGTCTAATTTAGGTATTAAACTACGACAGTTCCATTGTAATAAAGTGATCATATCTTGATCCTCACTCGACGAATTATCCATCGAAAGATATGAATTCACCAATGAGGGGCCATGATGCAGTCAATTGCTTGAAGTAGTATCCGACTATAGGAACAAGCAGGTCAATAAGCCCTCGAAGTGGCGATTCGTCGGGAAAGCCGAGGGCATTCAAAATATTATCCACAATGTCCTTAAATTTAATCTTTCCTCGCTTGGACGGGAGAGTTTTCTTTGAATTGCGAGTAGACGTGGTGTTTATTTTTGGTAACCTCTTACGATTACCTTTATTAGGTAGCGGCGCACTCCCGGGGAGCTAGTCGGCTTCCTTTTACCGGGGGCGTGTACCTCCGGAGACTCACTCTCATCTGCTTGTGTTTTCATTTTGAGCGGCTGATGCCAACGAAGCAGAGGATCCATTTTGCAACTTAACCATTTCTGCAAACGTCAGCTTGGAGCGTTCTTTTATTGAACGCTTCACATTGTTGGTACGCTTCTTGTACGCGGGGCAGTCCTGCAAAGCATGAAGAGGTTCTTTGCCACAGTAAGCACATTTAGTTGCTTCCTGTTGACAAGCACCCTCCATGTGGTCTTGGCTACATTTGCCACAACGAGGCTTGTTGTCACAAAAAGCAGCTGTGTGTCCCAACTTTTTGCAGTTGGTACAATTATATACCCTTGGTACAAAAAGTCGCACCGGGAAAAAAACATTTTCAATTTCTAAGAACTTTGGGAGAACCGATCCAGCGAAAGACACCTGCAGTGAGCCTGAAGGGGAATAAGTCTTTTGACCATCTACCGTGGTCGCTGAATACAATATCCTGCAACCCAGAACGTCCACGGTAGATGTAGCAGCATTTTGAAGGCGCCCCATACCTTCCATGACGTCCACGAAGTTGTTTAACATTCTACGAAGTATCCTGAAAATCGATGATGGTCCCTGAACTTTTACGAAGTTCCACGAACTTCTATGAAGTTCTCTGAAATCAAATAAATGTCTCTTGACATCTAAGAAGTTCCCTAATGGGACGTGATATTATGTTTGTTATGTTATGTTATGTTATGATTATGGTGGATAATTTCTCTCATGAATGTATTTGTAAAAAAAATTTGCCGTGCTTTAGGATTACAAAGATTACATACTAAAGGGTAAAGGTAATGCATTAGACTAGCCCACAAAAATAAAAGTTCTAATTTTCCACGGGCCAACCTCTCGATTTGTGCCTTTGGGTGAGAAAACCATTATCGGAAAGTTTCAGCACATTTGGTTTTAAGATTAGCTGGCACTTTTAGTTTGAATTTTGTATGGGGAATTTGGTAAAAATACATGGAAAAATGACTCTCCTACACTCTATCGATCATAAAAAGGTTTGCTTATTCAAAAAAATGTAGTTTTCTTATTGCAAAGTTCAAACAATGAGTAACAACCTTGCTGAAGATTGCATCACTAATCCAGTTAGTTTTATTGAGATATTCGCTTTTGAATGTATATGAGCATTTTGTATATGAAAATTTCAACCAAATCTCCTATATGAACACTAAACCAAAAGCGCCAGTCCGTGTAACGTCAAAAAGAGCTGAAACATTCAGAGTGTGGCTATCTCACCTACTGACACGAGTCAGGATGTTGGCCTGAGGAAAATATAAACTTTTATTTTTTTTGTTGTAATCTAGTTGATACGTTTTATAAGCTGCCTGTATTTTGTCGAAATATACGAACAAAATGCACATATAAATTCAAGAATGAATATATCGATAATACTGACTTGAATCATGATACTGTCTTCAGGAAAGTTGTTTCTTATAGTTTAAGCTACGTGTGCTGCAATTCTGAGCTTAATCGAATTTGCTGAACCAAATGCTGCTATGCACGAAAGAGTGAAGAAATGTTATTTCTCCATACATTTCAACCAATATCCCCATATAAATTTTAAATCAAAAACGCCAGTTCGTTTTGCATCCGAATGAGCTGAAATTTTCAGATAGTGGTTTTCTCACCTAATGGCACAAATCTAGGGGTTGGTCCGTTGAAAAAAATGTTAAAAAATTTCCCCCATATAAATGTGGGCCAGTCTAGTAATGCATACCTTTTACCGTAACGAATGACAGCCAGGGAGAGCTATGGAAGCCAAGATAGAAGTCGGAGACATATAGAAGTTCATCCAGAAGGAGTAAGCATTTTACAAGCTTCCGCTCGCTAACCTAAGGAAGGACTCTAAAAACTGCAAATACTGAGTCTTTTCATCAGTTGAGACTAGTACTACGTACTTTCAACCATCTTAACAATGCATTTCAATGGTTTTCGATCAACTATGAATGATGGACATCTCACGACACTCAACCTGATTGAATCAAAATGTTCACGGTTTGTTTCACTGCTAGATCCTATTTTTCACGAGTGCTTCTTGTAAAACGATCATATTCAAAACGTGATATCTGTGTGCAATTCTTTCGAAAAATCAGAATGAATGGCAAACAAAGGGAAGAGATATATTTCATAAGATGTGAAAGTTCTGGATTCAATTTCTGCTACAGATATTCCAAGAAAGATTTAAAGTGGTAAAAGAGTCTCAAATTAAAAAATCCCGGGGTACACGCGAACCCGGGATTTGATGATGATGCCCTGTTTACATTATGCTGGTGAGCTTTTTTGCGAGCAGCTGGCACATTAGCGCTAGTGAAATGGCATAAGTGTAAACACCCCATTAATGTTGCTCTACGCCTGCATTAACAAATATTTGACATATTAATCTCGCTCAGTGATGATATTCAAGCTGAACATTGCATTAGGTCCTAAGGCTCTGAACCATTTGGCGATTTTTTTTTAACTTTTGGTTAAAATTTGACAGATGGAAAGTTATTGATTAACCCTGCTATCCGAGCATGGTTATTACTGACAGGTACAAGAAGTTAAATTTTGACAACCGTGGCTCGAAAACCGGTCGATCGACAGCACGGGGATTTTCGAACACAGAAAATAACTTTCGAAATGTCACTTTTAACCACGAGTTAAATTTAACTCGGCAAACGGTTCACAGCCTAAGTAACATTGACAGATCATAAAAAACAATTTGTGCCAATTAAAAGCTGAACAAACTTTTTTTCAGCTAAAGAAGCATATTTTTGCTTGAATACACTCTAATTTCGCTTTCAATGTTTGTTGGGATTCTCTTCGTGAATTTTTTCTTTGCATCCCCATGGCCATGTAAAGACATTCCCAGGTATTTTCAGTACACAGATCGACAAAAGAAGCTTTTATCTAGCATCTAATAAGACAATCACATCAAGAAACGGTTCTGTGCTCAAGTTATTAACGAAAGAGAAAGTCGACGAAGAGAATCGATCAATGTTACTTAGGACCTAATGCAATGTTCAGCATGAAATGTTTTAGCATTTATGACGCTTAGGAATGGGCGTTTTGAAAAAAAAAATCGATGTTGTTGAAACGATTCTAAAACTTAATATAAAATCGATCCTCGAAAATATCGAAAGAAAAAAAATCGATTCGAGGAAATTGGACGAGGGGCACGCAATACAAAGAACCGGTGCGTTGAAGCTTAAAGGTAATCAAAAGTACTTCAAGTAATTAATGCGTTTTGAAGTAGCACTGACGGTAATTGAAATCATCTATCCGTAATAATTGTAATTAAAAGTATTGAAAATGTAATTAATGTACTTTAATTACGAAATTTCAACCGTAATTAATGAAGTTAAAAAGGAGTTAATGTTCTACATTGTGTAATTAATGTAATAAAAGCAGTAGTTAATGGAATTAATTTAATTACAGCCGTTGCCTGCGTTGGAGTTAAAGGTTATTGTATGCCCCTAGTATAATGAGAGAGAGAAGGATCAGTAATTTCCTTTTAATTCCACTACCTTATTTGCTTATCCTTGACAGAAACGCGTATTTCGTCTACAATGTGCAGACTTCTTCAGTGTCTTGTACTAATACTTGACTGAGACAGGGGGGGGGGGCTATTTCACGCATGAAGTAATACAAACATGATTAGTTATAGTTATAATTTAAGGTCAAACTTTAACCAAAGGTTCTAAACTGTTCAAA